AAATGCAACTCATTTTGTGGTTTTTATCTGCACAGGACCTGTTAGTATTTGTTTTATATTGTATCAAAATGTTCATTTCTGGGTTGTTGAGTACACTGCAGTTGCAAGATATTGAAAGAACGTAAGGGTGATTCACCTAGTTTTCATATAAAACCTCCACTGGAGTGAACAGCTAGTTGAGTTTTGAGCTACAAACAGCTGTATGGTATTCGTAGCTCAAAAACAACAGTGAGGTATTATGTAGCTCATGCTGGAAACCGAGGTACATGAACAGAAAGGGAAACTATGTACACCCTCAGCCCTTCAAACACAAAAAAATATCTACTCCCATCCTCCATGCTGTCATTATTTCACATAGACCATAAATGTTTCATCATCTTTTCAGGACGAGGCCTACACTTAAAACCTCTGAGGTTTTTGTGGTAGAATTATTCTTGATGTGTTTTTGTTTGTGTTTGTTTGTTTGTTTTGTCAGCTCACTCCACCTGGCAACACATTAAAGCTTCTAGCCACGTTATTTTATATCTTTCTATCCATTGCCATCCCCCAAGAAGAAAAACAAAAACCCCAACCTAATTTCAGGCTAGCACATGTACACACACACACACACACACACACACACACGCACACACACACACATGCCACAGGGCAAACAGATTTCTCGGTCAACAAATGGCAGTTAGTCGTCTTGTAGTTGACACTATACTTTTTGCCTGTGAGTTGTGCATGTGTTCAACAAACAAAAGTCTTGTTCCTTCTCGTCTGGTCCTTCAAGTTGTGGTGCAATTCGGGTGTGTGTGTGTGTGTGTGTGTGTGTGTGTGTGTGTGTGTGTGTGTGTGTGTGTGTGTGTGTGTGTGTGTTTATTCTGGGTTGTGTTTTGTGGAAGACAGAACTCACTTTGCCTGCCATTGTCAGTCTATTTACCCCTCCCACTTGACTTCAACGCACACACACACACACACACACACACACACACACGCACACGCGCACACAAAATTACTAAATTCAACATGCTCCTCTCTCACCAGCCGCCTTAATGAATGCAAATTAAATCCTATAGTGAATCTCCAGTGGATGAAAATTCCATCACGTTCTCTTGAACGCAGAGGCACAAAACAGCATTCACAGACACGCAATGGCTTACAAAGAGAGAAAATTGTCCAAGTTAAGGGAGGAGGAACAAAATAGAACATGGCTAATGAATGCGTCATTGTGATAAATACAAAGTACATAATAACTTCACGGCGGCTCGGTAGTCCAGTGGTTAGCACGTCGGCTTCACAGTGCAGAGGTGCCGGGTTCGAATCCAGCTCCGGCCTCCCTGTGTGGAGTTTGCATGTTCTCCCCGGGCCTGCGTGGGTTTTCTCCGGGTACTCCGGTTTCCTCCCACATTCCAAAAATAGTGAGGATCAAGCGGTTCGGAAAATGAATGAATGAATGAAATGAATAATAACTTCACTTAATGTGTTGTTAATTCTGTTGAGTCATACACGAAGAAAAACAATCCAGCATTGCGTACAATGGCTAGCGAAAGTATTTGCCCCTGTTGGGCTTTTTGACCTTTCGTCACATTTCAGGCTTCAAACATCCATCCATCCATTTTCTGGTCCGCTTTATCCTCACAAGGGGCATGCTGCAGCCTATCCCAGCTGTCTTCAGGCAGTAGGCGGGGGGCGCCCTGAACCGGTTGCCAGCCAATCGCAGGGCACCCACAGATGAACAACCATCTGTGCTCACACTCACACCAAGGGACAATTTAGAGTGTTCAATTAGCCTGCTACGCATGTTTTTGGAATGTGGGAGGAAACCGGAGTACCCGGAGAAAACCCACGGAGGCACGGGGAGAACACGCAAACTCCACACAGGAAGGCCGGGATGGAACCCATGACCACGACCACGAGCTGTGTGTGTGTAATCTAGTCTCAATATAAATCCACCTGCTCTGTGATGGTCTCAGAGGTCTGTGAGAGGAATATTGGGGAGCAAACGGCATCATGAAGACCAAGCAACACAGCAGGCACGTCCCGGATAAATGTGAAGTTGAAAGCAGTACTGTATTAGGATTTGAAAATAATTTCCAAGCTTTAAACATCTCGCTGAGCACTGTTTAATCAATCAAATTGAAATGGGAAGAGTCTGAGAGCACCGCAAACCTACCAAGACCTGACCGCCCTTCTAAATTTTCAGCCTAAAGAAGGAGTATAGTATGACCGCTACGATGTGCATACTCTGCATTGTGCATAAATAAATATTGAAGCACAAGAAATTAAATTCAGAGAAAATCTGAATTATAAATAAAACACGTCTAGTACTTTAATACACACACACAGACACACACACACACACACACACACACACACACACACACACACACACACACACACACACACAGTGGCAGTGATGCTTCCATTAAAGAGGACATTTACCTTGGCCTGGCCTTCCATTAAACTTAAAAAGGTCCCCTCCATCGCCAAGGACCTTAATGATTTATGCCACCTTAGCCTTATGGGTAGCTGTCTGCTCTCACTTGTATGGGTTTATAGATAAATGTCCTCACACACACGTACATACACGCTCATGCACACACACGCACACACTTACACAATTGTACAGTAACCCGAGGAAGGACATTTTTCTGCAAAAAAAGGCTGGAAACTGAGCCTTGCATCCATAATGTAAACTCAGCTTGCTAATCACTACACAGCAGCTTACATCAGTTTTTTTTTGGGTGGGGGGTAGTATTCCTGTGTGCTTTGACATGCTGAGTGCGAGGTTCAAAGACACACTGTACTTCACACCCCTCTGACTGCTTCTTTCCCGCAAAATGTATACAGTTCAGTATACAGTACACCCCTGGCGGAAAAGGGAGCGTGCCATCCCACGAATAGCAAAAGTCTGTGTATAATTGAGGCCGATTATGCTTTGGGGGAAAAAAAGGAAAAAATTGCCCGTCCCTGCTGTATATATTATATTGGTTCAGTTTAATACCTGGAAACAATTGTAAAAAAAGAAAAAAGGATACAACGTGGCATCTTTGATTGGCTGTTATGCCTTTGAAATTCCATCCATCCATCCATTTTCCAATCCGCTTTATCCTCACATGGGTCGCGGTAGGTGCTGGAGCCAATCCCAGCCATCTTCAGGCAGTTGGCGGGGGACACCCTGAACCGGTTGCCAGCCAATCGCAGGGCACACAGAGACGAACAACCATCCGCGCTCACACACACACACCTAGGGACAATTTAGAGTGTTCAATCAGCCTGCCATGCATGTTTTTGGAATGTGGGAGGAAACCGGAGTACCCAGAGAAAACCCACACAGGCCCGGGGAGAACATGCAAACACACAGGTAGGCCGGAGCCACCCACGACCCCTGCACTGTGAGGTCGACGCGCTATTTACCTACAATGAAAATTTCCAATCACAGCAAATCACAGCCCCTTCTGAGATTTAGCTGTAGAACCTCCACACTCCGCTATGATTCAGTAGCGTTCAGACGCATGGCTCGGTGTGCGGTGGGCCTCAGTGACCCCCGGCTTCACCTTAAAACCAAAAAAGCTCACTGTCACTCTCCAACTCAATCAGCACTCATAAGGAGCGATGTGCAAGTCCGCAAGCACACACAACAGGACAGTGTGTGATGGAGGAGTTCAGGGGCCCATTGTTTGGTGTGGGTGGTCAATTGGAGTATTGTGGAACTCGGCTGCACACTCGCACTGCTTGAGAAACATTCATGCCGTGCCATACACATGTACATTCAGGACACACTTCGCCATTGTGGTTGCACGCTGAGATGTTGCCATTGAGCAATGCGACACAAAATAAATGTATCAAATAGGCACACAAACCAAAACAACGGAATACAGTTCACTTAATATGGATTTTAAAACTTTCCATTTGAAGAAGTAGTTATTAATGGTGAGCACTAAGTGTGCGGTACTCAGTTTTTTGTTTTTTTTTGTTGTTGTTTTTTTTTTTTAAGCTAATGACTTCTGCCCAAAGTCTTACGCAAGTAGTTCTGAAGGATTTAAATACATGTTTGAATTAGATGAATATTGTTCTCTCTTTTCATGGGCATCTATATTACTTTGAATTTGATTTAACAAAGTCATGTGCTTAACCCTTTCAGGTACAGCGGTTACTACAATGGACAGTTTATGAGGTTGTCAGGTTACAGGTTATCATCATTATTGGTGCATGAAAGGGTTTATTGTCTTCAAATATGAGATCCCAGCTCACTAGAGATACTTCCACTGTTTCTCGGTCCAGTTGGACTTTTTTCTTATCTGATATCATCAGTGAGTTGGCGTAGCATTTGCGTGACTATTTGAATCTACAAACGGTTTTAACCCCAGGGAAACTGTTCACAGGGGAGCTTATTTGAATAAAGATTTTTTTTTTTAAATGCCTATCATGGATTGAGTATCCCAACCCCCAAAAAATAAAATAAATAAAAATCTGAATTGACTCAACATAGAGGGTCCAACATCTGCAGGAATGAATCGTCCGATGTTTCCGCTTCCTTTAGACCAGAGGTGTCAAACTCAAGGCCCGGGGGCCAGATCCGGCCCGCCACATCATTTAATGTGGCCCGCAAAAGCAAATCATACGTGTCAACTTACATGATCCTTGCTAAAATCTTTATGCAAATGTCACATTGTCATGTGTAATAAATAACGTTGATGTTTTGCATACATTTTGTTACCCTCTTTACACTCACTTGAACAATAATTGGATAAACTATTATAGTTGACTGATTTCAAAACTAGTAATCCATTAATTTGTTGTTTCCAAGTAAAAATTCGATGAGACGATTAAATGCGTGATTTCACTGTCATAACGGCCCCCGAGGGAAGACACAAGTCGAAAGTGGCCCTCGACAAAACGGAGTTTGACAGCGCTCTGTAATGAATACATGTGCACAAATAGCCAACAAAGAAGCCCCAAATCACATGGCCGAGTTAACCCCTTGCTGTGCATTTCACTCCTCCTGCTCACAGGTGGCAAAAGATGTGTCCATCCGTCTCCACAGTCAACTGGACAGCGGGGAGCAGAAGAGGGCCCGTCTGGAGGAGGAGAACGAGGAGCTCAGAGTCCGACTCCAGGATCTGGAGGTTGCCAAACAGGTCCTGCAGCAGGAGATTGACAAGGTAGGCCTCGATCGTTCACCGTGGTCCTGAGCTAACGTTTCCAAAGCCAGGCTGCCTTCAAAGAGAGATAATAGGATTGCTCTCGGGACTAACAAGGCAAAAGGGTGGATGAGATGAAAGCCGTTGTTGCGTGTGACATGACACGGGCGGGTAACATAACTAGGCTCGGGTGTAAACCAAAACCGACATCCGTTCTTGTTGACCCTCGTTTCTTTTATTTTGATGCCTCACAAGAGACCAAGTAAGGCTTTGAAAACAAAAGTGTTTCAAAGCAATGGCACAATTTGATCCCCTTCGCCAAGTGATGTGAAAACTAAATTGGGCAAAGAAATGAAATAACAAAATGTCTTTCTGTGTTCGGTGCTTTAAAAAGTGGCATCTCGGCAGGCCTCGTTCTTTGTCTGTTTTCCTCCATGTTTGATTGGACGCTCAGAGTGCCGGTCCTGGCCCAAGTCCTGATGTGGGTCACGGCCGGGTAGCTGGCAGGGGATCTGAACTGTGTTCCCTCAATAAAACCGGTTGTTCATGGGTGTCCGAGAGTGGGGGGTCTTGGTGTTTTTCATCACTCTACTCCCCAACTATCGATTGACTGTTTGCCTGATATAGCTGTGCAATTGGAGAGGGGATACAAAGCTCCCTTGTTGTCCGCTTCCTTCACTAATTAGATGGACCCGCGGCGGTGCATGTATTGGACTTGACAAGTCATTCAAGTTTACTTCCAATTATTTGTTAATCGAAAGGACGAAAGAAAAATACTGCATTCCCCACTGCATGTTCACCGGCAGGTCGACACTTGACTTGAGTGGTTTTACTGCTGATTCAATCACTTTGCCCTGATGCCCCAGGAGGCCCGTTCAGTGAACGGAAGTGTCTTTTGTCTGCTGTAAATAGCAATGTTTGGTACTATTTTTGATTGCTGTTTGTTTGCAACCAACAGACTAGTTTTTTGACATAGCAATATGTTTGTTCGTTTATTTTTTATGGGTTGATACAGTGGTGGTACGACTTCAAGATGGCGCCTTATTTGGCAGCGGTCTGCAAGAGCTCTTCAAGAGCTCTGCTTTTTTTCTTTTTTTTTTCTTGCGGGAATGAATTTCCGCTTTCTTTAGAGCTTCAAAGAGTGGCTTTTGTGCAGGAGCAATGCCGTTTGTTCTGACGTGTGCTTTTCTCAGCACACATGTGGCCGCTGCAGGTTTTGCGGCTATTTGACAGCCCCTCCGACTTGCTGACCTCAAGAGCTCTGCTTTTTTTCTTTTTTTTTTCTTGCGGGAATGAATTTCCGCTTTCTTTAGAGCTTCAAAGAGTGGCTTTTGTGCAGGAGCAATGCCGTTTGTTCTGACGTGTGCTTTTCTCAGCACACATGTGGCCGCTGCAGGTTTTGCGGCTATTTGACAGCCCCTCCGACTTGCTGACCTGGCTTCGTGTTTGGCTGTGTTGTGATGAGTGAGCTATGCCAACCCTGCAGAAAATTCTTCACATTGCTGATATGATTTGCAGAACTTCGTATGTTCACTTACTCACAGTGGAATGTCTCGCCTATCTGTATCTCACCATGGGTGGTACGCATTGAATTCAAGAACGGGTTCTGGTCAAGTGTAGTCATGGTACTATTGAGGTTTTTTTTTTTTTTTCTAAATGCTCTTAAACTCTTACAGTGATTCCTGCAGCACAATTTCTAAAACTATTCACATGTCCCGCAAAACCACTCGTGAATTTTGCCAAGTTAAAAACAAAACCCCTGCTTTGTACTGACTTTGTAATTTTGTAACACACAATTTGGGGTAGCCAGCAATCTTTTTGCAGAGCAGTACACACAACTTACTGCTTTTACACTCAATTTCCAAGTTAACAACACACTTCTTGCGATCTTGATTGATTTTGCTTTTGAAAGTAATGCTGATGTGAGCATGTCTTTCCACGCTCCCTCTCACACTTCCCTTCTTCTTGCCCCCCCTCTCTTTTCTTTTCCCTGCCCCTTCTAGCACCTTTTTTTTTACCTCCACCTTTCAAATCTCTGCCTTCACCTGTCTCCAAAATGTTCGATCCATTCCAGCTGTTTGACATTGGAAGGCAGCAAGGTCACATTAAATTGAGAGAGGGTGAAGGCTGCTGGTTTAGGAGGAGGGGCGAGGCAGGTTTTTTGAGGATAAAGAGGCTCGGGGGAGTGCGTCTTCTGAGAACGTTTCATCATTTGAAGGTGAAGCAGCGTGACTGAAGTGAAAGATTGATTGAAGGTGTAGAGGAGAAAAGGTTGGTGGGATTTGCAGGGGGATTCGGCAAATAAACGACTGTTCATGTGCTTCGCTAATACAAGGGGGACGCAGTCAGGATGGTCTCTTCCGAAGTAACATAGTGGACCTTGGAAGTCAATTGCAATCTGTTGCATGATGTTTCAATTTTGAATGAATTTGCACATAAGAGATATAGGAATGAAATTAATTTGTCATGAGCATTTGGTTAATGGAGAAATTCATGGTTTTATTTTTCTATTATTTTGATAGGTGCATTGATTAATGGTTTATGAACCGCAAATAATAATAGTAACAGTAATAATCATCATCATAATCTATTCACCATTTAGATAACGTTTGTAATTGAAAACATTACAAATGCTTAAAATGTCAGTTTCTGAAAAGCACCGTATTTTCCGCACCATAAGGCGCACCTAAAAGCATTCAATTTACTCAAAAGCCGACAGTGCGCCTTATAATCCAAGGCACCATATACATGGATCAAAATTCTGAATTCTTGGACGCAGTATTTTAAATGTTCTGTAAAGTGCTTTGTTACACCTGCAGCGCTTTTGAACGCTCGATATAAATAAAGCTCTATTGTATTGTATTCCCATTAGCATAGCTCCACCTAGTGGATGCATAACGCAACCTCAGCCACTATTGTAGCTTCTATTCTATACGCCTTGTAATGCTAGGCGCCCTATATGTGAAAACAGTTTTGAAATAGGCCATTCATTGAAGGAGCGCCTTATAATCCGAAGCACCTTATAATGTGGAAAATACGGTAAATATTCTCCAATTTCTGCTGTCCTCCATAAGACTGATTATCTTTGTGTTAAATTGAAATAAAACATTTTTTTTTGAATTTGGGAAACAATTACCAAGATTTTGCCAATTTTTTGACATGGTACCGACCAAACCGATGAATTCATTTATGTTTGTGGATATTCTGCTCTTTGAGTGAAGGTGTGGAAATGAAAACATTTTTAAAAAATCCGATTGATCGATTAATCGACAAAATAATCCATATATGAAAATAATCATTCATCTCAGCCCTTATTGTATCAATCCCATGGGAGAATACGTCGTCCCATTGCGTAGGTCTGCTCAGCAATCAGTTCTCAACAACTGATTGAGTGATGTTCCATGTAGTGAAAGTTTTTTTTTTTTTCATAATTCCATAGAAAGAGTTGAGTTGAGTAGAAACCGAGCCTTGTGTATTTTCCTGTAGCCGCGCCTCAGCCTTAAGGTAACCAAATACAATGCAGTAAGAGAAGGTGGAGAGCTATCATACAGAGAGATGGGTGCTCGACGGGCTGGTTGAAGTGGAGGAGTTCCGCCGAGAAAGAAGGTGGGGAGAGAAGTCTAAAATTGAGACAAGGGTGTAAACAAAGAGAAAGACGTTACTTTGTGCGGGGGCAAGGAGAAGGGAGACAAAAGAGGGCGGTACCAGGTGGGGTCTTGGCAGGAGGGCTGGGAGATTTTAATTGGAAAAATAATCCTTGATGATTTGGGAGAAAATGCGGCATGCCATTTAGTTCTTGTCCATAGTGTATGCATCCACTCTTTCTCGCTCCTTCTCTGCATATGATCACCATAACTCAGCTGAAGGTCATTGAAATGCCGTCCTGTGTGTGTGCGCGCGTCCTTGCATATGACAGCTTGTGTGTGTGTGTGTGTGTGTGTGTGCGTGTGTGTGTGTGTGTGTGTGTGTGTGTGTGTGTGTGTGTGTGTTTGTTTGAGAGAGAGAGAGAGAGAGAGAGAGAGAGAGAGAGAGAGAGAGAGAGAGAGCATGTTGATTTAAGATAAATGCATTGACGATAAGGTCATCTTATCCACTTGGGTATACTGCATCATGGTATTGCTGCATTCTCTCACCATATTCCAATAATATATCTGCCAAGAGCACATTTGACTGATGTATCTCACCTTCTTTTCCTATCACCGTTTGTTTGGGCCAGAAAAAACAGGAACTGCTAAACCATATGTGCAGTTAATTCTTTGAAACTGTCTTGAATCAGTACTAGTGCAGCGCACTTTTTGTTTTATTTTGTTGTTGTTGTTAGCATAGCCGCCCCACAGTTCTGATGCTTCAGATTTTGGATTTGGGCTCCGGCCTTCCACTGCAGGTTTGCATGTTCTGCCCATGCTTGTGTGTGTTTTTTTTTTTTTTTCCTCTGGCGAATTGGTTTTTCCTCCCATATTCAAAGACATGCATGTTTTGTTCATTGAAGACTCTAAATTGTCCTTACGTGTCAATGTGAGTGTGAATGCCCTGCGATTAGTTGGTGACAGTCTTGGGCGTAGCTCGCCTTTCACCCAGTCAGCTGGAATCGGCTCCAGCTCAGCCGCAACCCTTCAAAAAAAAAGACCAGAGAAAATGGATGGATGTATAATGTGTCACGCTGACATCATGCATTACACCATGCGCAGCCATTTGGAAAAAAATGACAGTTTGTAGCACAAAAAAAAAGTTTCAGAGTTCCTCATTGGATTGTGCTCAGATGAGATCTTGCAAGACTTGCTCATATCATGGTTCAAACTTTAACATCCACCACACAGTTTTATCCACAGTTAGCATGTTTATGGGTTAGCAAGGTTTGCCTTTTGGAAACATTTCCCTTCAACCTCATTGTAATAATAACGTGCCATCTGTGTCAGTCGTTTAACCATGATTACCCTTTAAAACTTTAAAACAGGGTGTCACCAGGAAAGGGTTGAACCGATGGAAACTTCTTCTGCGCTGCTCTTATTAGCTAATGTGCC